CCCAGAGATTGGTCACACAATATTCTACCTGTACAGCATTTCACTCAAATGGCCCGGCTATTTGGAGAGGTGAGGACATTGTACATTGATATAAAGGGTCATTTGGTGGACTTGTTGGAGCATTGTACAGTAAGGGATTGGATTTTCACCAGAATGACTGCACCTTAACATCACTCTGTCTGTCCTTCCCTACATTCCCCTCAAAGCCTAAGGTGCTCAGAATGATGGAGCACAATGTGTTTTTCATTCCCTGCTGATTTAAACACCGCCAGACATTTAAAAATGAGCACACGTGATTTCGTTTTCTAAATAAAGCCCTTATATCCAAACTCACTGAAGAAACAAAGAAAAGAAAAAACGGAAACATTTTCACACTGTTTGCATTTGTCTTCAAGGTAAAGCTAAAATGGGTCATTTAATTTGCTCCAATTCTCAAAGGTGTGACTATGGAGGAAGCGGCTGCATAGGAAAGCCAAGGACAGTTGGATTTACCGTAAAGAGCATGCTAGTTGTGCTCTCCCTAGAGCCATGTCTTTGATTGAATACTGAAATGAGTTGAAATGTCACAAATCTCTACCAGTATGCTCGAAATGAAAATTGGCCTTGGGGGGGTTTTAAGCTTCCCATTAAGAGCGTGCTTAACATTCTGTTAAATGTGACTGGAGTGCATCAAAAATACAGCATAATTACGTGTCTCTGTGCACTCAAGCAAAATGTCCCTAAAAATTCCTCAATGCTGAGCAACTGCCTCTGCTAAAATGCAAGGGACCTTAAAATCGAGCCTCAACGGGAATGATGTGAGAGTAAAGCCAAAGGGCAGTAGGGTTCAAATTAAACCTACCAAAAAGGGGCCAAATTGTCACGTAACTGGCAAAAGGAAAAAAAAGTGGGTGAATCCTGTTTTCCTGCAGAATTTCCAGGATTTAAATTTAAATACAAATATAAATTATGTCAGCTTGAAACTGGAGCACCAAAACGCATGTGTTATAAATGTTAAACTGTCAACAGATTCCTTCGTAGCCTACATCACAACATGTCTGGCAACTTTTAAGTCAAATTAGAGTATATGATGTTTTTTTACAGTGCCTTTCTTAATTAATTCTGCCTTTATATCAGCATCCCCTTCCCAGTCTGGTAATGCCCGTCTGTCTCTGAATGCAACTGATTTGATACGACCGCACTCCTTCCTATTTACCCCTGATCTCTCAGGTAGCTGTATTTTCAGGAAACAGGAAAATGACTATCGCGCCTGCTTAGTATTCACGTCACGCAAAGTGGGTCTGTGTTCCTCATTTAGTTCTGTACAGTACAGCTGGGGAGCTGTCCAGCACGCAGCGGCAGTATGCAAATGAGGCTGGATTTGAATGGAGATGGAGGTAGACACAAAGCTCAATTAGAGACAGAGAAGAGAAAGAGGCAGTGGGGGAGCGCTGAGTGTCTGAAGGGGAGGGGGAGGGGGGGGAGAAAACCTTTGACTGCTTAATGCCAACCTGAGAAAACCAGTGTACGGACACATTCAAACACAAAGGGACACACAGATGTGAATGCGCTTAAATAGCCAGACAGATTTCTAAATTCTTCAGACAGGCAGCCGATCTCTGAGGGGCTCAGACAGCTCAGCTCTGTGATGCCTTTCGCTCACACCAATCACACAGAGAATATCCCACATCATCCATATCACACATTTCAAAACAAAAAAAAGAGAGGGGGGGGGGAGCACAGGTGCACTCCTCGCTTTTATTTAAGCTCAAAGAGAGAGTCTCACATGTGGTTAATAAAAAAAGAAGAAAAAGAAAAGAAAACTGAGGTGGAGGGGGGGGAGTGGCCGCCATTTTGTTCCTGGATGCCCAGCAGCGTTGCATATCACCTGACCCAATGCCTGCATGACTGTCCTTGGAGGAGTTTCTGACATCAGCACTGCCACTTATGGTTGCCATAGCAACCTGGGTACCAATTTGGATGGGGTGGGGTGGGGGTGTCGCTGGATGCTGCAGGATGGAGAGTAGAAAATTAATATGCACATGCGACGAGTCAGAATCGGGATTTAATTGTTGGCGTGTGAAGCTGAAATGGATTGAAAGCTGCAGCAAACACGAGGAATATCAGGGCAAGGGCGGGCAAAAAATGGATTAGGCAGGCTCATTCTGGTAAATCATCTGCATCATTGTCAAGGTTATATCCAGATTATTTCCTCTCGTGGTAGAAAGTAACTTCATAGATGAGATGAGGAAGGTGGGCCACGGGGTGGGGATTATCTTCCTCCAGCTTCTCCTCGCCTCCCTCCTCAGCATTATCACCGCCATGAATAGTTTACAAAGCTGCGTACAGGCGAGGTGATGGTTCACACGGCATCGGCGGCTGAATTTTAGCTGACTTTGTGTCCGTGAATAGCAATCATTTCAGCACGCCTGAAAAGGTTTTCATATGCGGCTGAAATATAACAGGCAGGAGTGTGGGCTCGACTCTGGGAGGATGAGTCTAACTCGATCAGGGAGGCTCAAAGATCATTCAGTTGATCTGGCAATGCAACAAAATCACCCAAGTTTGATTTCCCATAAAACACTGCCTGTCAGATTGCATAGGAGCAACCGTTACTCACAGGGACACACACACACACACACCTGACCTAAAACTGTGGTGTCTCTCCCTTCAAATCACCAATCACATGAACATACACACTCACGGGGAGGCAGATTTCACTTGCTGCCTCACCATCAAGCCAGCATTTCTTTTGTAAATAGTGAAGGCACAGGATGAAGTGATGAAGTCTCAAAACAGAAAAAAAAACCCCTACACATACATATATAAATGACAAATGAAACAGCAGAAATGTAAAAACAACAACAACAACAAACAAACAAAAACCTTCAAGATAGTCCAACACAACACAGAAAGACAAAAATAAGTCATCACACTGCAGAATTATGCGAAATAGCAGAGGGAGAGGTGTTAGGCTGACAACACAAGCGTGCATGCACAGTCAGTCCCGCGCACGCACACATATGCGCACATACAGTAAACGTTGCAATGGTCTCATCAATAATGCATCGGCACTTCATGTTTATGCAATTTACAGGGCAAGACCGAGCGATGGCTAGTGTAGAAGCCCGCCGTAGCCTTGTGCACAAGCCTATCACAGACAGAGCTCAGACGCGAGCGTTCACACGGAAAGCGCCTGTAGAGAAAAAGGTTAAGATTATATAAAATAGTCCCGAGTGCGCACATACCTGTTAAAGCGTCATTTCTTTGAGCCTGGTTTTATGCAGGCTCGAAGGGCTTCATGATAACGCCGCACTAAGGAAATAAAACTGTAGCTGTGGTGATATGCAAATTAACGGCTCCCGCTGAATGCAAGGGCATTTATTATTCATAAATTACTCATGTTTATGCAAATGAGGGCGTGCGGAAACACGGGTGGGGGGTTGAGTGGCTCTGTCTAAACATACCGTGTGATTTCGTTTCTGTTGCGCATTTTTTCCCCCACCCCCCACTAAAAAATAATCAAAATCCTTGATTTTAAATAACATATAGTCACAAACCAGCTTTAGCAGTGTGAACTTTATGTTGTCCTGGCTCATTTAAAGAAGAAGGGGAGGGAGCTGCTGTTAATGCGGGCCTTTATTCAAGGTTTACATGCTTATTTATTCTGGGTTATTTAGCGTGTGCTAACCCGAGTGTAGAGGACACATAAGGTCAGACACCTCTTTCAATGCTGCAGACTGTCAAAAGTGGCAGCTATTTCTAACCGGCCTATCACACGTGACCCTGCAAAGGTGGGATATCATCTGCAGAAGTCTCTTGAGTGAGAGGTGAAACGTCTTCATGGCGCTTCATTTTCTTTCCAACCTCCTGTTTTTTGTTTTTTGTTTTTTTGTTGTT